GTGTTTGGAAAGAGAAAGGAGAAGCATGAAATATCCCTGAGAGATGGCTCTTGGGATTTGCCTCTTGAGCAGGGCACGGAGGGTCAGTGGAGGGTTTGTGCCGAGCTGGCAGACACTATGCGGACCCCCATCTATCCAAAATGTTCTTGTTTTTTTTTTTTCTTTTCATAGGATATGGACTTATGTAAAAAGAGCCTTCTAGGTTGCTGTTCTAATTTTGCTTAAAAACCCATGCTCAGTGGGTGAATGTAGACAAAAATAAATAAATAAATAAAAATTAAAAAGCCTGTAAAATTTGCATAAAGATGCAAAGTGCTAAAGATATTTTTGTTTCCTTCCCTCTTTTAACCAAACCACCTGAACCGCACCCTGTACTAGAGCTGCTTGGATAAAAGTTGTATTAATCGCATCAAAAAATAACTGAGTACAGTGCCTCTCCATTTAGATCTGTGGTTGGCTGGTTGAAGTCTCAGGCACATCTTGACCCTTCGGGCACTCATGTGACTGTCCTTTCTGTACGTGGAGAGAGGAAAAGTCCAAGGAAGAATTGCCCCCCCCCCCCCCCCAGGAGAGGCAGCCGCTGGCCCCTGCTTAGCTGGCAGGTGATCCTGCAGGAGGGGGTACACCAGCCTCGGGCAGAAGAGGCGACATGCACCAGCGACCCACAGAGAACGCCCCTGTGTCCCCTCTGGCAGGTGCAGAGCAGGCAGTCCCTGTACACACATCTGAGCTCCAGGCCCCTAGGCTGCATCTGGCAGCGGAGCCGGAGGGCGGGGAGCCACACAGCACAGCTGCCTGTCCGGGCCCTGGCGGGGCTTAGGAGCACTTCTCTGCCTTTCACCGGAGGATTACGTGCATGAACACCACTGAACCCGCCCTGGGTCTCAGAGGTGCGCCCGCAGAGAGAGCAGTGGGAGAAGAAGCGGGAGAGTGGGAAGTGGAGGCCAGCCCTGAGTCCTGTGCCCTGGGAGGGGGGCCGTGCCACCGGTGGGCAAGGTCTCTGGGAGGCAGCCAACAAGGGAGGAGAGTGGGGATGCGAAGGGAGAGATGGGCCTTAAAACCTGAGGCTTAGTCACCCCCCCCCCTCGCCGGCTCTGTCTCTACCCCCAATGGCTCTCTCCCCTGACTGCTCCCCTCCCTGCCCATGAGAGACGCCCCCGATGTTCACTTTCTGCTGGTTTTACCGGGAGAAAACTTGTGAGGACTGCAGAAGGTGGAACCCAAGAGATTGGGCCCTAGGACCCTCAGACCTGGTCTGAGACATGCAATGTCGGTGCCATAGGGAGCATTCAGGTCTTTCACAGGAGATACGGATGCACCTTGTAGCACCGTCAGTGGTGGACACCCTTCCCTGACAGCCACTGCTCACAAGGGCGCCCAGCCCGGGAGGTCCCCAGGTCTCTCTTGGGGAGGGTCCCAGACCCAGGCCCCGGGGTCCCGTGTCCTTCCAAGCCCACAGCCTCCAACGTGAGCCAGGACTCCTGCCTCCACGGTGAGCTGCTAACAACGGTCACCTGAGCAACCACCACAGAACGCTGATTATGGGCTTTATATATATATATTTACAGGCTTCTTTATCATTCTTTTTCCTTTTGTTGAAAAAAGAAAGGATTGGTGAAGAGGAAACAATCCATCACCTTAATTACACCACTTGCCTGCCCCCTCCCCTTCTTTACACATAGTTTTTCATTTGTTAAAGCTCAAATTCTAGGAAAAGATACACGACGGCAGTGTGTGTATAGCCAGTGGTTAAAAAAAGAAAGAGAGAAAAGAAAAGAAAAAAAAAAACAACACACACACACACACACACACACACACACACACACCCAGCTACATTGTTTAAAACGTGACTCATAACAACAGCAAAGAAGTCTTTCTAAAAATCACGTGACAGCCTGGCTGGTCCCCTCTCTCTCCTTGTCCCTCCTCCACACGTTTCTCTTTCTTCCCGTGGCATGTCCCTCCTCATTACTGACTCACACCCTGCCGCACGGTGACAGCGTACACACTGAGTGGAAAGCACAAGGCGACTTATAGAAAAAGAACATGTTTCATGGCAAGAAGCGAGTCGGAGGCGGAAAATGAAAACAGGCTTCAAACTAGGAAAGATCAAGAATAGCTAATAAGCCCAGGTCCAGAGGCCACTTTGATCGCATTTCCTTCAAGATCTACCCAGTACATTGGTCTCTCCCCTGAAGAATGAGAACGCGGCTGCCTCCTGGTTAATTTAGAATGGGAGAGAAAAACAACCTACATTCAAGAAAACCTACCAACAATGTGAATGCCTGCTCTTAGCCATGCTTTCCATCCACTTTCCACTGCCTGCCTGCCCCAGCCCGGTTCTCTCTCTCAGGGCGAAAGCTGATTCATCCCCAGGCCCCGCCCCCACCGGGTCTGCCTCTGCCTGGGCCAGGAGAGGTGTCGAATGCAGGTAGCTATATCTGACGGGGCAAACACCCTCTTCCTTCTCCCAAAGCGAAAGCATTGCCTGAATCCGAGTTGCATACGGAGGCGCCCTGGGCCTCCGCCCCAAAGAAGGCTCTGGCCCTGGGTACACTGGCTACCAGTTCAGAGCTCCGTGTCCACCTTGTCAATGGGATTGTCATGACCCATTCTCAATTCTGGCCCTGCTCTTGGCCAGAGGAATAGAGTCTCTGCTCCCAGAGATGTGGTTTCTTCCCTCCAAAGATGATCTTTATGTCCCAAGACAGCAGCCATGGGCCAGCCCATGCCACCCGCGTCTGCCTTTGCTCAATCCCTAAACCAGCCCGTCGGGAGCGCTGGGAATTCCTACCTTCCAGTCACTGAGATCTGTGCTTATTTTGGCTAATTGAGCACCGTGGCTCAGATGAGATTTTATTTATCTACTAGTGGCCCGGTGCACGGAATTCGTGCATGGGGTGGGGGTGGGGGGAGAGTGTCCCTTAGCCCAGCCTGCATTCTCTCCAATCTGGGACCCCTCAGGGATATCCAACTGCCAGTTTAGGCCTGACATCCTTCTCGCAATCCAGGACCTTTGGCTGCTAACCACACACCTTTCTGTCTGCCTGCCTAATACCCCCAACTACCCTCCCCTGCTGGCCTGATCACCCCTCAACCCCCATCACCTCAACCCCCACCATGACTTTGTCCAGAAGATGGCCAGTCAACCTGGTCTAATGAGCATATTACCCTTTCATTAGTATATATATATATATATATATATATATATATATATATATATATTTTTTTTTTTTTTTTTTTTTTTTTTACAGGGGAACGTGACTGGACTGTGAAGCTCCCTGGTAAGCACAGCCTCAAGGAGCCCACATGTGCCTGGCTTGTTTATTCTCCTACGGAAGCTAAGCTCTTCACTGGGGCCTGTCAGTCTCGGACCCGGATCCAGGCCTCCTGCGCACAGAGCACTGTCCCGGTAGTGGCTGGATGCCTTTCCCCAGCCTCCCTGGGAGCTTCCAGTCTCAACAACCAACGAGAGTCCAACGAAGCTGCAGAAGCAGGTTCCACGCCCAGCACCAACTTTACCTTGGGTCCTGAAGGTGAGACCGTGAACTCAACCGCACCCAAGCCCACCGGGAGAGAATTCCTTCCTGCACTTAGATCCGCATCTCACACCCAAAAAGCACCAACACAGGCAGGGGAGTACCCTCACTACTTCACAATGTGCAATGAGGGGGGTGGGGTGGGGAAGGGGCTCAGGGGGCAACGGAGGTGAGAAAGACAGAGAAGACAGTATGTGTGGGTCTGTCATTCCCTGTTCACACCCCCCCCACCCCACTCCGCCTTAAGGCTCGGGGGGGATGAGTGGCAAATTAGGCGAGCTGATTTCGAGCCAGAGAGCACATCTAGGTGACAACCCGGGAATCCATCTCTTTGCAGCCACGAGCTGGACAGATTAATGGGAGTGAAGATAATGAGTCTAGACTCAGATAGAAAACTGACTTCCCTTATCTCTGAAGTGCTGTCACCTACGGGGCGAGGGCCAGCCAGTACAAACAGGGCCCGGCAACCCTCACGCTGCCTGCAGAGAGCAGGTTCTGAGAAACTCATCCCGAGATGTGGGCGAGGGCTTCTGAGGGTGCGTCTACACCAGGCCCGGAACTTCGAGCGGCTTCTAAATGCTTAGCCCTGGGACCTGGGTGAGGGAGGGGGAGGGGAACTTGAGCAGCGCCAGCCAACTGGATTGCAAAGAGCCCAACATGTGGGATCCACCGCGTTATAAAAGCCCAGGCGTAAAGAATGAGAATGCTGCTGTCTCCTTTGGTCAATCCCCTCCAAAATTCTTCTCTCTTTGATCCCCTCTTATGTACTTTATTAGGGAGAAAATGTCCGTCTCTGTGTTCCAAATTAATTTAAGTGCTCACATTCCCGCCATCAAATGTGCCTTCCGATTCCCGTCATTAGACGCCAGCTCCTCAGTTCTGCAGCTTCTCCTCTTTAGGCTGGATAGTCCCTCCTTGTGCCCCTCCTCGAACTGTCCTCCCGCACTGCACTGCCTGCCTCTGTCACTCACCGGAGGTTAATTGAGAACGCTGCCTGGGCACCCTGGAGCTGGGACTGGGAAGAACCTGTCTTCGGGCTAACATAAATCATTGCCACATCATTTCACTGCTAATTCACTCCCGATTTTTTTTTTTTTTTGTGGTTGTTGCTCAGTCTGCTTAGAGCTTCTCCTTTCTCACCACTCACGCCTGTTCTGCCTCACTGCTCCCCACCGGACAATGCGAGGCTGAAAGGTTTATCTGTAACCTATTTGTCTCTATTATAGGCTCCTAAACTTTAATTAAACAGGAGACAGTGAGGATCTCAATCCCCCCTTCCCCGCTTCTCCAGGCGCGGCTGGCGCCATCTAGCGGCGGGAAGGTGTGGCGTCTATGTTCTCTTAAAGACTTGTTACGCGTGGAGGTTTATTCTCTCCATCCAATTCACAGCACATGAGGGGAAGGAAAAGGCATGCAAAAAGAAAAATAACTTGTTTTTTTTTTTACCTTTAAAATTCTCACCTGCAAAAGCTGAGATGGGTTCTGGAAAAAACAAACAAACAGAAAACATTTTGAGTTAGATGAGGGGAAGGCCCCAGACTCTGTCTCCCGCACCATAATCCTGGGGGCCGGTGGGTGGGGAGAGGTTCGCAAAGTCGCTTTGGAACAAAAAGTCCTTTATGGAGTAACGGGCCCCAGAAGCACTATAATCAGCCACTTACCGCTGATTACTTTCTCAGAGTCTGGATGACTCTGAGATGCCCGGGCCTGAGAGCCGCCTGAAGGGATGGGGGTGGGGGGATGGACGGTACCAGGTGCTCCTGACATCATTGCGGGCACACACACCCGGGACCGTGTGCCAAGAAAAGCACTTGGTGAGTTACTACAGTCACCCTGCCGACTGAAAGCGGGTTCCCTCCCTTTTCGGGGTTCCCTCTTGCTTGCAGGAATGTCTGCGGCTGGAGGACGATGACCAGGGTGCCCCAGGTTGCATATTGGAGGTGGGCTGGCTGCTCTGTACTTCTGCTTCAGGGGCTGTCAGGGTCCCTTCCCACACTGGTCCCTGGGTGTGCCAGGCTTCGTCTTACAATAACTCTGGGATCTTGGCCGTTAGAGGCATTCGCTTCAAAGCGAAGTCTAAAACGCTACTTCACAAGCCATCGCTTTGCCCTGCAATTCATTCATGCAAAAGAACTGCCGGGTAATTATGCTATCACTCTGCTAGAGCTCAGGTACTATTTTTGCTCACCACCAAAGGCTCCCATTAAGCCCATCAAACCTCTCCAGCATGTAATTCTGACTGGCAGTTGTGCTCGTCCTCCAGCCTGTTCTTTGCTGGAAGCGGGAGTCGGACGATGGGGACCTGGCACTCCCCAATCCCCCTCTACTCAGCGCACGTCTGTTTCTGAATGGGCACGGGGCTCGAAGACGGTCCCCTCACCGTACAACCCTCCCTCAGGCACAGCCGCACGCACACCTCCCCTCCCTCCTCTGGGGGACCCTGTGTCTGAGAGGGCGCTGCCTCCTCTCCTATGCCCCAGCTCCCGGCGCCTCGTCTGGAAGACCCACAGAGAGACAGATGGCCGCGTACCCATGCAGTTCTCCAGCGGGACGTCGGTGCTTATCCGGATGTCATCGATGGCAATCTCTCCGGAGCGTCCTTTCCCTATGACTCCCTCGAACACGATCTGGAAGCCAGAGGGACAGAGGCACGGTCAGCTGAGCTGCCTGGGCCAGACAGTGCCAGGATTCCCGGCTTTCTGGTATCCGTTCAAATAAAACGCACATTTGAAGGGGTTCCAATATGTATTACAAGGTGATGGTCACCGTTGTCTAGTAACTCGAGTGTACTGATGAAAAGAAACGCATGCAGAGTCTGTTTAAAGAAGGGTTACATGTTCCCTAGCATTTTTTTAGGTTCCTTTCTCATGAATCTTTCACATGCCCAACCCAGAGGTAGTTGGGAACTGGGGAGACATAAGCAGGTGAGGGTAAGGTGAGAAGTATCTAGTATACGGGTTTGGATTGCCTTGGGGGATAACACTCTCTTACAGCTCCATTATTACAACGGAGAGGAAATTATTACAACTAGGAGCACCTACTATGTGCTAGGTACAAGGATAGTTACAAAACCTACCAGACAAGACCCTTGGTGAATCTCACCCTCTCACCAAGGGTGAGACAAAAATGCAAACAGCTACTGACAATGCACTGCATAGAGGTTTATCAGCAGGAAATGTGGCTGGGAGTGGGGGGGAACTCGGGACCCCTTACACCCGAGAGTGACTGCAGGCTGCGCACAGAAGCCCCTCTGCCTCCTGGCCTTCTCTGCCCCCTCCCCCAATCCTCGCCCTCCCCAGGTTCTCTCCGCACACTAGCACATGTCCTCTGGCAAGCTAAGCGAGCAGTTGGCTGCCTCACCAGCCATCTGTTGCTGCTTCTCATCTGGGGAGGAGCAGGTTAATGCTCTGGCTGGTTCTTAGTCACCTCTTCCACAGTGTGTCTCCTCTACCCAACTTCCTGCCACAGCTGCGCACACCCATCTGTGCCTCAGTCTCTCGCTCTGCGGGGCCCAGATAATGGAATTCAACTCCGGGGGCCTCGGGGAGAGACGCCGCTCGTTCAGAGCTGGGTCTCTCTGGTGTGCTGGCTGCGAAGCACACACAGCAACCCTTCCCCTTCCTGTGCTCACCCTCGGGCTGGGACAGGCCTGGGAGGTTGTTCCCCTTGTGTCTGTGCTCCCTCCTCCCCCCTCCAGAGTCCTCTTTCCAGGGTGTGGAGCGTTTGTTTGTGTTTATTTCCCTGGCTTCCGTGTCCCTTTGTCAGCCTACCGGATAGCAATCTAAACTTAAAAAAACGGGGAGAAGAAACGTTTGCCGGGGGAAGATTTCAGCAATATAAAAGGCAACAGGAGGAACAAAGAACCAAGTCTGGGTGTAGAGATAGGCACACTCTGAATAACAAATAAGAGTGTCATTCAGTTGCCATGGCAACGTGAGAAACACAATGAAAACAGCAGCTTCACCACGTTCCCTAATGATGAATGGGCGCAGACGGCCCTTTGAAATATGGAAGCACAGATCCCAGGGACCCCACCCGCGGACCCCCGCCCCGGCTCCCGCCACCACCCCACCTGGTACTCCATGTCGTAGCTGGGCAGGATGATGCGCCCGTGCTTCCACTCGCCGCCCTGGTCCTCGCGGATGACCCAGAGGAGCTTGCTCTCCTGGCTGGCTTCGCGCACCACCTGCAGCGCCACCCCGCGGCCGCCGGTGGCCTGGTACTGGAACTCCATGCACACGGGGCTCTGGGGCAGGTGCACGGGCGGGCTGATGAGCCGCCCATACTGGCCCTCTCTGCGCCCGTCGCTCTGCAGCCGCAGGAAGTTCCTGTCATCTGGGGGGGGAGGGGGGGGGAACAAAGCAGACAGGGGTTCCTGGTCAGCGCCTGGGAAAGACACCTGTGTGCAGCTGTTGCTCCTCCCCAGCTGTTCCCGAGTTTGAGTGTCTTGTTTATTTCAAGTCCTGGCTCTCCAGGCCTCACGCCCCATTCTTATGGCTCCTCCAGATTCAAATACGGGGTCCTCTGAGGCCTTGGAGTCTCTCTGTCTAGCCCCTCCCTCCTGCCTAGTCCTCAGCATCACGGTCTTTGAGCCACTTTTACGGCGGGCACCTGGCAGGGCTGGCCCAATGTCTACTTGTCTTCTCTCCTTGGATCCTAAGAGGCCAGACCCGCACCTTCTTCATCACTGGCTTACCCAAGGGGCCGACACAGCCTACTGACTGAGCCGCATTGTAAGAGGGTGAGGATGGCTGAGGAGGGGTGATTCTCCGGCTCCACCCCCTTCCCTGCCCTGGCTGGGGAGGCCTGAACTTGGCCTTTCTCACACAGTAGGCCCGTGGTCGGCAAACTGCGGCTGGCAAGCCACATGCGGCTCTTTGGCCCCTTGAGTGTGGCTCTTCCACAAAATACCACGGCCTGGGCGAGTCTGTTTTGAAGAAGTGGCATTGGAAGAAGTTTAAAAAATGTGGCTCTCAAAAGAAATTTCAGTCGTTCTACTGTTGATATTTGGCTCTGCTGACTGATGAGTTTGCCGACCACTGGCCTGGGCTAACACAGCTCCAGGGAACTCAGGACCGTCACCAAGGCTGTGTGTTTGGTGGAAGACGTATGCATGTTGGAAAATTACGGTTTCTCCCATCCAAATGGTCAGAGGGGGGGCCTTTTCACTGATGAGTTTTCAAACACGTCAGACTCTACGTGAGAGGCCGAGCTGCTCTCCCTGTTCGCAGACCGCAGGCCCTGCGGACACAAGTGTGAGACCTGCCCCTACAAACACAGCTGGTGCAGGGGGATCCGGCCACACGTACAGAGGGAGGAGGTCTCCGAGGAGAACCCTCACGGCTCTTGCTGGCCCTGAGATCTCTCGGGCTGCTCACTTCTGCAGGAGGGCAGGGACCCTGGCCGCACGCACCCCGCACGCCAGCCACCTTGGGGTCCTGCTAATGGGAGGCGGGCACAGGCTTTCTCTCTCAGCAGGGTCTGTGCACACCTGGGGCTTGTCGGGGAAGGACAGGCCGGGACTTCAGAGCTCAGAAACCACTGGTTTGCCGTTAAATCCCGCTGACATGACATGTGTCATGTTTCTCACGAGAGCCGAACCTGCAACAGTCCCACGGCCAGAAACAGGGCCTGCTTCCCCGCCTCCAATCACCTCTCTTCCCTCCTCTGAGCCCTTCTGGGTAGAGCCTCCGGGTTATTGCTCTAGAAGCTTCCCCGCCCTGGCTCAAATGAGAGGACTTAGGATGCATAGCTGGGATTCCACTTCGTGTCTCCTTCACCAGTGAAAGCCTTATCTGTCTTGCACCCCACACCATGAGAGCACTCCAAGGCCAAAGTCAGCACAGGGACCCCGGCAGCTGCCTGCAGCCCAGACTGCTAATGACGGTGATCTGTGGAGGGAGGAGACGCCGGTGCCAAGGCAGACACCCAGTGCGCTTCTAACCTATGCTTCTCCCATCAGATCTCATTACCGCCGCCGCCGTTAATGATAATAATTATGTCACATCTGCATAACGCTGTGCAGGTTACAAAGCCTGTTTGTGTGCGTTATTCTGCTTGATCCTTCCTATAGGCACGCGAGCTCCGTTTTCTTCCTCTTACTTTGCACGGGATGAACAAACGGAGGCTCAGGAAGGCTCCAGTGACTTGTCCAAGGCAGAGAGGTCGCTCACCGCAGAGCCGGAAGGTGTTCCCACCTTCACACAGCACACGCCTAATCCTCACAGCTTCCAATTCCACGGTAACATTTAGTCTAGCAGTGGTCAGCAAACTCATCAGTCAACAGAGCCGCAGTTTGCCGACCCCGGTCCTAAACCCTTCTGGCCCATTTCACCGTTAATACCTGCCTTCTCCGAACAACTCGAGCCTTTACAGACCGTACCCCTCGCTTTACCTTGTGTTTAAAAAGACTGGAGGCCATTTTTCCCATGCATTTCAGCACATAAACACCGACTGCCTTCTACTAAAATTTAACAGTTTCTTGTGCGTTTTTATGATCTCTCCAGTTAGATAAACAGGTCCTGGTGTCACACGCATGAGGCTTAATAGGGCTTCTTCTCACCACCCCCTAAATAGTGACATATCTGTGCCACCATTAAAAATAAATGCTGCTCTCATGAATGGCAGAATGACAAACACATGGGTAAGTAGTGATAGGCGATGTATTGGAACTAAGAACAGAGGGTGAATCAGCGAGCTCCTGGCAATCCCTCAGATTCATGAGATATCTTCACCATCCTCTTCCTCCCCCCCAGCTAACAGCCCCTCTCAAAAGCGAGGTGAACTAACAAGAGCAGGGGGACCTGTGGATGTCCCAGCCCCGGAGCCACAGGTGAGACCCCCCCCCCCCAAAGGCTCCCCACTACGCCGTTCCCAAGCCCCGACTGTCTCCACCTGATACAAAGGCAGCCAGATTTCCGAGGCTTATTATTCAGCCTTCCCCCTTCACAGCTTCACAAATAAGACCCCCTCACCGCCTGAAAATTGCTTGGCAGAGATACTGTCACTCGTGTGAATTTACATTAAGCGGCAGGGGAATCGTGGCATAATGGGTAGGATTTAGGAAGGAAAATGTGCGTGGAGGTGTAAGGAGCGGGGCTGGATGGGTGTTAGCTGGGTCTGTTTTGTGCTCCCCCATCCTGTTACTAAAACTTTGGCACAATGAGACCAAAGGTTTTACAGACTGCTGCTCCCATGGCCCGAGCTCAGCCCTCCTACCTCCACCCCCCCCCAAGATGATAATCGCTATGCACGGTTTAAAGGGCCACTGGAAGATCAGGGAGTTAATGCCGGTGGCGTGCTAAGCACGAGCAGCTGAGGAATCGTAATTCAGTGCTGACATCTGAGCTAAGCCACCGGTTTGCAGAATCTCAAGACAAGCAGGCCTCTGGATTTCACTTAGTTAAATCATTTGTGCCCCACTTGTCTGTTAAGTGCTGTGAGCTCCAGGGAAGAAAGATGATATGTAAATTTAGGGAATTAGCAGTAGACATCAGTCAAAGGGACGCTGAGCTGCAAAACGTCCCTGCCTGCCTGTCACTGAGAGGCCTGATTAGAACCAGGACATCACGGAGGAATGGCCAAGACCAGGAAAACCCAGGGAGGGGGACAGGAGAAGCAGGGGGAAGGGAACCGATGTTAACTGAGCACCTACTATGCCAGATTTTAGACTGGAGGCTTTATCTGCCTATCTTATGTAATCTTCCCTGTGAAATAAGTATCATTTCCCCCCTCCCCCCCATTTTTTGCCAACAAAACAAAGTGAGGCTCAGAGAACTGAAGTGATGTGTCTGAGACTTCAGCTACAGAATGATGGAAGTAAGCTGCGAGCCTTAATCAGTCTGAGTAAAATCACCTGAGCATGGGCTGGAACCCTAGCCTAATCCTCACGAACCTGTTCAAGCCTCAGTCTTCCCATCTGTACAATGGGTAAAACAATGTCATTACTGCATAGAGTTATGAGGAGGAAATGGAACAAGCAGGGCACAATGCTTTGCACAGGAACTGGGACACAGTTAAGTGCCCGATATAAAGTACGGCCTTCTACCGCTACTACTATTGCCATCCAATCACGTGGGAAGACCAATCCAAGACTCCAAGGGAAGGCTGGTTTGGCCTGAGGAGAGTAAAAATGTTTTTAGGAATAAGACGGTTTCCAGATCCATCGTCCTAATCGCCAAAACGGGGCAGCCCCAAATGGTGCCTCATGCACGATCACCCACGTACCTGTGTGTGAACCTGTGCGAGATGGAATAAGTCAGTGTTTCCCAAACTTCTCTCGTGATGAGAATCACCTGGTGGAGTTGTTAAACTACAGATTCCTGAATCCCAACTAGAGCACTAGTTAAGTATACAATTTTACCTATATGTTCCCAAAAATTCTAGTTTAGCACCTCTTAGTCGGGATTCAGGAATCTGTAGATTAACAACTCCACCAGGTGATTCTCATCATGAGAGAAGTTTGGGAAACACTGGAATAAAGTAATCCCTGATCCTGGAACGCGAGGGGGTGGGGGTGGGGGCGCTCCTGAGACGGCTTACAGCAGGCCAGCCCGGCCGTCCAGAGGAACGAGGCCGAAACATCCCGAACAGCTGTCCACCCTTCGCTTTAAACTTCCCTGGGAAGGAGCTCCCACAGGACATGGGGACAATGTGCTTCCTGGGTCACAACCCTCACTGTCAGGAGCTTCTTAAATCCAGTTTTACATTTTCCTGCTGTCACATGAGACACATGTCCTCCTTCCATCCCCGATGGAGCACAGCCCACTATCTGTCTTCTGATTTAGACACACTGTCTGTCACTCATGAAGAATGGGAGACCCTCGGTCTTTGCTTCCTCAGGAAACACAACCTTTTGCTCCTTTATACATCCACTTTGCAGGCCTTTAGGTTAAGGTGACCAGACGTCCCGATTTTTAACAATTTGTCCCGCGTCGGGACTTTTTTAAAAGGCTGTGGGACGTGGGACAAATTGTTAAAAATCGGGACTGTTCCGCCAAAAGGGGGACGGACGTTTGGTCACCTTACTTTACAGGGTCTGCACTGACCCTTCTCTAAGCGAAGTGTCTCTGTCCCTTTAAATTGGGACACCCACGTCAGTGCCACAGTGAGGCATGTGTGTGAGAGTGAAGTTTGGGGGTGTGCAGGAGGCAGCTGATGGATGTTGCTCTCTCATCCATGTTTCTAACTCTCTATCCCTCTCTCTTCCTCTCTATAAAAAAATCAATAAAATATATATTAAAAAAAATATGGCCCTCAGAAGACATTTCAGTCGTTGTACTGTTCATACTTGGCTCTGTTGACTAATGAGTTTGTTCTGGAACATCCCAGTGTAC